CCTTCTGAGGTCCACAAAGTTGCCAGCTGGTGACATTAGTTCAGTCCTCTCTAAATTAAACCTTGGTCATCCAGCTCTTGGGTAAGCAGAAGGAAACGCATTCTGTCTTTCTGGCTGAAGCAGATGTAATGGAGATGTAGATCTGTGCAGTACACTGAGGCCCACGTTTCTTAGGCATGTTGAATTTGGTAAGGTAGACTTGTGTGGTAGAATGAGAGAGAGATCTCTCATTGTGAATCTGCTGTACCCATTAGTGCTTGCTGATGAGTTAACAATCTTAAGGGTCACAGCACCCTGTTTTACAAGAGATGTCTTGGAAGGACAGGGGATCAGATGAGGAAGCAGCCTATAAACAGCAGTGCCTACAACAGTAATAAAAGGGTGACCTAAGGAAAAGGTGTAGCTGAGATTGCTGTGAGCCAAGGTGATGATTGTTACTGAAAATTCAAGCTAGCTTTGTGGAGTGTGGAGAAGAAGTTTGAATTGGAGGTGCACTGAGAACAAGGAGCAATGGTCTCAAGTTGCAGCAAGGGAAGTTTAGGTTAGATATTAGGAAGAATTTTCTCATGAGGAGGGTAGTAAAAGACTGGAACAGGTTATTCAGAGAGGTGGTGCAGTCTCCATCCTTGGAAGTTTTTAAGACCCGGCTAGGCAAAGCCTTGGCTGGGCTGGTCCTGCTTGGAGCAGGGGGTTGGACTAGATGTGACCTCCTGAGGTGCCTTCCAAACCTAACTTTTTATGATATATTGGTTGCATAGTGGATCAGCACTGCTAAAAGGAAAATTAACGTTTTTTTGGCTGGTGTAGCCAATAATGTCACCAATAAATGCTGTGTGTATGTGTACCGCTGCAGCATGCATGCAGCCACGAATGCAGCTAGGCAGCTTGGAGAGCAGCATTCTGGTGGTAAGTCTGTAGGGGGGAAGGGGTATATGGGGGGCACAGACTGAGGCCCCCATGGTGAGGAAGGGAGTGGGGCTGGGACAGGGACAGATGCTGCCCAGCCAGGGCGGTGAATGCGACCCTGGGGCTAGGAGCAGGACGAAGCCATGGGCAGCTTGCCTGGGGGGGCGCAAGGAGGCGGGGGTGGATCTTAGCTGTGTGAACCCCCAGGGGGAAACACAGGGGCATGTGGCCCCTGGATTTGTGCACAGGGCAGAGGCAGGCTGCCCACTGTGGGCCAGGGGCTGTGAGCGGAGTGGGCTCAGCTGTGTGGGGTGGGTGGTGGTGCTGGGAGGGGTGGCTATGGGAATTTTGGGGTGGCCGTAGCTCCCCAAGCCCCCCCCCCCGGGGACATTCTGCTCTGCTGCCTTTCTCTTGGGAGGGGCAGGCAGGGTTCCCAAGGGGAAGGGCAGTGGGGGGGGCCGAAGCAGGGGTGATGCTAGGAAGGGCTTTTGGGGCAGCCACAGGCCACCCCCCAATTCCTTTCCAGCACCCCTTTCAGTAGCCACCCCTTCCAGCCTTGCTGCTGCCATGCATGTCGCACAGCTGTGCCCCTGCTGGGAAGAGGCTGGCACAGCCCCTGGCCCTGAGCGGGCAGCCTACCCTCACCCCATCCACAAACACAGATGATCACACTGCCTGATGGATAAGGCATCTGACTTTGGATCAAGAGACTGAAGGTTTATAGTTTCATAGTTTCTAGGGTTGGAAGGGACCTGGGCAGATCATCTAGTCCGACCCCCTGCCGTGGCAGGAAAGAGTACTGGGGTCAA